GGCTAGTAAAAGTGGTCAGGGGCCTAATACCTGCGAAGGTATATGGCCCACACGCAAGTCTCAACCCCTTCCCAGGCAAGCCCTTCCCTGGTCATTTCCTCTTGTGCTCTGAGTAATGGAGGAGGAGGAAGGAAAGCTGACGGCCACCACTATCCGCTGTGAGCGCCCCTTTGTGATTGTCCCCCAGGGATCTGGGGCTTCTTGGACCTCCTGCCTACTCACACACACCCCACCCAACACGAGGCTTTCCAGAGTATAAACAAACAATGGCTGCCCAATGACACAGAATAGCACTGCCCTGTGCTTGGCCACATGTAAAAACGTCTCATAAATGGGATTATGAGCAGATGTCAATAAAGACTCACGGGCAGGGACATCTGGAGAGTAAAGTTCTCATGTGCTGAGATCATTATATCTCATTACACCTGATTTTTAAAATGCTGATTCATTCATTCTTTATGATAGCAAATTTGATCAGAAACCAAGATGGGCTCTCCAAGAAAAAGAAGGGAGTTAAAATATAGGAATAAAGAATGATATGGCAAGAGGAGTCATTAACTTCACTTTGGTGGCAGCAGACTGAAGGCAACAACAGGGACCTGTGAGCACTGTTGCTGTGAGCAATTGAAGGTCCCCATCTATTAGTTGATTGAACAAGTAAAAAGAATCAGAACCCATACTGAAACATCACCTACTATGTTCTGGGCACTATTCTAAGCTATACTATATTTATATAGTATATATAAGCTATACTATATTTATGTATATAAATATGTATATTTACGTATATATAATATGTAACATATATTTATGTATTTAATCCTAAAAATAATGTATAAAATAGGGGCCATTATTATCTTTTAAAGATGGGTAAACTGAAACACAAAGAGTTAAGTAACTTGTCCAAGGTGAAGTAGCTATTACCTTCAATTTACATAGTATTTTTCTATGTTTGGGCAGTACGGTCCGTCTTTAATAACAAGTTTTAAGTTTCCTGTAAAATATTTTATCTAGTAAATGTTATCTCTTCAAACATCTATATTTCTTGATAAAGTACTGAAGGCATCCATAAACTTGAATATAGCTTAATTAGTTTATAATGTCACCAACATCTCAAAATAAATTTGATCTATGTTCTTAGATTCCACTAATTTTATACCATACTACGAGATTCAAAACAGAATTAGCTTTTACTCTTAAAATATCATTAATGCATCATCTCGAATACATTAATCAATAAAATGGATTCTGCAAGTAGGTAGGAAGGTAAATGCATGTTAATTACTTCAAATGTCTTAATTAACTCCTACTGCTAATGATACAGCAATTAAGGTTTAAATATGTTGTAGAGGATACATCAGTTTTCTATCGGGTCATGTTGCTGAGTATCACTGAAATCCAATGAAATGGGGAGGTTTAGACCCAAATTCTCAAAGAATTCTAATCTCAACAAGAAAAACAAGTAAAACTAAGGTTTTAGACTCATTGCAGCACGTTTCCCTCACACACACCTGATTCCCGGTTAGTTGCTCCTTTCCCTGCTCTGTCCCCAAGTCCCTCTGAGCACCAGGAGGTACAATGTGGTAATCATCACTTGTGAAAGTGCTGGAGGACACGCACCAAGCACCACTGACGGAATCAACCTCCCAAACATTTGTTTAACCTTCTTTGTTTCTGAGCCCTGGGACAGAAGTTATGGTGGTGCCTGCTGACCAAGCTGGGCCTGATGAAGACCAAACGCAGAGACCAGGGTAGGTTCATAGAGCCATTTTAGAAGCTATCTCCTGCGGCAGATTAAAGATGACCACTCTACTTAAAGGAAGGAGACATGGAGTCTATTTTCCCTTCTCTTGAATCTGGGTTGGTCCTGTGACTTGTTTTAATCAAGAGAATGCAGCAGACATGAAACCATGTGACTTCCAAGGTTGGGCCTTAAGAGATCTGTAACTTCTACTATCATGCTCTTGGAACCCAACTATCATATTGTGAGATGCCCAAGTTGCGTGGAAAGAGAACTGAGGCGCCAGCTGACAGCCCCAACTGAGCTTCCAGCCAACAGCCAGCACCAAGATCAAGTCAAATGAGTGAGCCATCTTGGATGTTCCAATCCAGTCAAATCTCTTGATGATTACAGCTCCAGACTGACACCACATGGAGAAGACCGTCCCAGCTGACCTCAATCAACCCAGACTCTTCAGAGATAATAAATGAGGGTTGTTTAAACCACTAAGTATTTGATATGGTTTGTTATGCAGCAATAGATAGTCAAAGCCTTTCTAGACCATCTTAGAGACCCGGGCGGAAACTAGATCCTGCTTGACTCAACATTACACAGTATAAGTCATGAAAGACCCAGAAACTCAGGGTGACTATGATGGAGTTGAGAAGAACACTTTCCAATATGGGGCACAGTGGCTAAGACCATGGACCCCGGAGCCAGACCGACTAACTTTGAATCCTGGCTTTGCTTTTTACTAGATATGTACCTAGTAAAGTTACTTAACTTTTCTGTGCCTCAGTTTCCTTTTGCATAAAATAGAGATAATAATATTCCCTACGTCATAGGTTTCTTATGAAAATTGAATATCAGTATCAGTATATGTTAAGCACTTAAAACAGTGCCTGGCACAGAATAAGTGATCAGTAAATGTTCTCTTAGTTTCATTATTTATTCTCTATTCTGTTCTACATCCCAGCAACCACCCACTCATGGGGATGGGAGGGCTCTATACTTAGGACAGAAGGATACTGAAAATGAAGGAGAGGGTCATAACATGCATCCTATTTGATCCCGCACCATGAGGAAATGGATCTCTACCATGCCATAAAGCGTGAGTGTGATAGATGCTAAATCTAATTGGCCTCACACCGGCAAGGGAGAAAACCAAAAATCAGAGTAAATGCTCAGTTTGTGGATCATCTATCACAGAAATGTCAGACGATTAAGCCAACTTTATCTGAGAATAAACTACTTCAAAGTATGAGAATCTACACTTTGGGAACCCTATATCTGATTTCTGTTCATTAAGATTACTGAGTTTTATATGCATATAATATAGTCCTAGAAAGTTATTTTCTTGGGCATGATCTGAACTATCATCATCACATTCATATCAACTTTGTTTCTAAATATTATTTTCTAGTTCACTGCAACAAACAGATCTGATTATAGATCATCGTAATACTTGCATATGTCGTAATAACCCTAAATATATTAGTAATACTGGGTTAATTTTTGGGTTTTGGTTATTTTTGTTTTGATTTGATTTTTTGGTCATATCATATACATATTTGGGGGAATTGCTTTAGTTAAAAGAAATATTGAATGATTTTTTTTAATGAAGCAAAACATAGTGGTAATCAATTCATTTTGCTATAGAATTAGAATTAGTAAATTGTATTTTTTGCCCCAGCCCTGTGTCTCTTCTCTATTTTAAAATTATATCAAGGACCTACTTCTATTTACTTCAAAGTAATCATCCCAAGTGAATTAACACATAGCAGCCACAAGTTAAAGTTTTTGAAATACTTAGCATTCTATTTCAGCTCTTGAACATTCGATCACAGCACGTCTCATGGGACTTTTCTCTGCATCCCCAAAGCTCTCCATTTCTCATCTCCACATATGTCTATTCATAAAATTACTGTAGATTCAATTGTATTACTCTTATCCTGGTCTTTGGACCTGGTTCCATCTGTTTTTCAAGACCACTATAATGGATCCATAAATTGACACCCAAGTAGCTCAATCAATTAGCGGTTCTGGGAAAACGTGTCAGGTGTATGCCTATCTTCAGCATGCTAACATCACTCATCCACATTAGTTACCCTTCTTTCCAAATTATTTATAAGCCTTAGGTCAGCTTGAGAAAATTCATATTTTCATTTCACGCTTGCTAATCATGCCTTAAATGGTGAGTATCAGAGATGCAAATTAATTGCAAACTATATGAAGGAGGCAAATTAACAACCATGAAATATAAATTATTAATGCAGTAGTAATTCAGCTTCCAGGTTCCTTCTGCAAATACTAACAATTTCACCTATTTTATATGGCTCAATGCATACTAAATTTGGTAATTTAAATAGAAACAGGCAACACTAGATTTTATTACTTTCTTTTCCTCCTAACTTTTTAACTCCTTCTTCCTTTTCTATTACCTCCTTTGTCTCTGTGTTTTGAACCCTACTTTTTTACGTCTGCTTAACTTCAGTGCCACGTCACTACCAGATCTCATCAATTACACACTATTATGCTTTAGACGGCATTCTGAATATTTTGTATTTTACATTACACCAGTCTATTCAAAGAACTGAATCAGTTCCACCATGAAAAAAAAAAATCAAAGCATCTGTAGGGTTAGGATTGTATTATTATGTGATTATACACAATAAGCTTAAGAATATATACAATTTCAGTAGTATTATTGAGACTAATTGTTGGGAATGCTTCTGCACGCACTATGTAGTTGAACACAGCAAAGAATGAAACTAGCCAAAATTAAACTGTGAAAAAATCTCATATGAAAAAGAAAGCCTGGTTAAGTGAAAAGAGTGTTCAGATTAGCACTAATAGATTCAACCAAAGTTTCCAGACTAGTAAAATTTTGCTTTACTTGCACCTGTTTTCCATAAATGGAGACCAGCCAGGGCTTCAATGCTTAAATTAAAAATATTACTAAAATAAATGGTGTAACATTTCTAATTCATAACATTGATTTAATTGGAGTATAAGACATTTACCAACAAGGATGGGTATAATCTCATCAATAAACAACAAATTAATAAAGGAAATCATTTGAATAAAATGTCTTTGGAGTTTCTCAGATAAAAATCTCACAGATTTCTCAAAGCACATCTCTACAAATTCTAAATCTTGGTTTCACCGTCATTCGCATAAAATGTTTTTAAGTAGTATATGTAAATATCCTTACTAATAACTCAAGTGTACTTATGTTTAGCAAAATTATTTCAGGGGAAAAAATGTCACATATGCTTACCTGGCAAGGTTGTTTCATTTTAATGGCTATAACATGGTATCTATAGCAGCAGAGTTCGCAGGTCCAGGAACCCCTCTCACTGATCCACTTCAGCAGGCACAGCTGATGTGTATACCGGACGGACCCATCACATCGGCAGGGGTTTAACAGCTCCCCCTGAAAAGAAAACGGCTCACCATGAATAGTTGTGCTTGTGCCTCTATTTTAAAAATCTAACACCTGCTTTCTTTTCTTTCACAGCCATTTACCCAGGATACAAGCATCAAACTCTACCCTAGAAAATGAAATTAAATTTTTATATCTCTGATGGGAATGAAACTAAAGTCTTAAAACTATTTCAAAGATATTGCTTAGAGTTATGACATAAATGTTCTATCAACATACAAAACGTCTGCAAGATATAGCTCCCAGTACCCTTGGGGAAAAGCTGTACTATTAAATCTCTTTAATAACTTTTAAGTGGATGGTCAGATGCATTTCCTCTGCAGTTATTCTTAATCATTGCTGAAGAAGAAATGCATGGCATCCCAGAAAGTAGCCTGCAATAGCATTATGCTTTTATTTTTTTCTAAATGTAGCATCATAAATATTGACTTAGGGCACTATATTCCTGAAAGCCTGCATATTCTTACGCAATTTCCTTACTTTTAAAAATATTAAGCCTAATGTTTTCTCAGACCACACATTTTGTAAGATCTATTATCCTGTTGTCTCCATGATTACTCTCTAGAAGTTTGCATGCGCCTCTAATGGAGTTTATAATTTTAGAATTGTGTTTCTAACAAAATATAAAGTACATTGTTGGCTAAATAGCCTTCTTTCACAAGGTCAAAGTACATTCCCATTTCTCTTGTAAAAACTGTACCACACTTTTCACATCAGTGAGATGAAGTCACCAAAATTTGCAATAAGGAAAGACCCTGCCCTTTTGGTTTTGACATGACTCACCCCCAGTTTGTATTCTAAGAGTATCTGTCTCAGGATACATTTGTAGAAAGAGGAAAATTGGTTTGTTGCTAAGTATAAACCAAAATCCATTTAGTAATTCACAAAACAGATACTTATGGCATTATCATTAAAGCACCTGAGGAATGTGTAACCGCAAGACCAGGTAGGAAAAAAGAGTGTAGATCACTCTGTGTTCACCACCGGGGCATTTTTATCTGTCTTCACAGAAGGGGAAAGGGAACGCACAGCGGCCACTGCTCAGTTGGCTGGACCTGACATGCCCGGCAGCAGAGGAACGAGGAGGCGAGCGCTGTCCGTGGTGCTGAAAGGTCGGCCGTCGCGGACAGACAGCGGCCCAGCCGCGACCCGAGCCCACCGCCAGCTGCCGTGGGGGTCCCGCCGGGCCTTACCTGCTCGGCGCCCTGAAAGCAGATCTTGCAGATGGGCTGGTGGTGCTGGTGCTGGTGCCCGGCGCGCTGGTCGCCGCCGCCACTGCTGCTGCTGCGGCTGCTACACACCGAGCGCGTCTCGGGCTGGTCGCCGGCGCCCCGCCGCTCGCCCTCCCCGCCCGCGC